TAACCTAAATAGAGCTCGTGGGCGGTGTTTAGTAGGACCGCTTGAACAAACATACTGTTTATGAGTTTGACTAATGGTCGCGTATAAAAAGTCGCGGGTCGCGGGTAAAAAGTCGCTGGTCTTAAAAAGCTCCAAACCGTGTGTTTTCACTGAGTGGCGGGTTGAATAAAGTGTGTAAAAATCACGTTATCATAAGACGGAAGTGTTGTAGATGCATGGCTTGATGATGAGGAAATTGTCGACTTGTCTTATGACAGATGATGAGGAAATTGTCGGCTATCTCAATCAGTACTTTTCTACATTATTGGTTCCAAGTTAACGTTGTCTGATAATATTATTGATAATGGCATTGATACCCTGAGCTTTGTGACTCCTGTATATGATAAATATTTCATTTTAGAAATATTGCAATACAAGAGTCAAGAGGTAATAGATGCATTAAACCTGTTAAAACCTAAAAAATCACCAGGCCTAGACGGTCTTAGTACAAGACTATTAAAGATGCTGCTCTTATTGTTGACCACATTGCTTGACATTTTTAATTTATTTTTGCAGACGGCTATATTCCCCGACGACTGGAAGTTAGCTAAAGTTTCTCCGATCTTTCAAGAAGGAAACAAAAGTGATTGCGGAAATTACAGATCAATTTCCGTTGTTGCAAATATTTTTGAGAAATTAATTTATCAGCAGTTAATTAAGGTCATTTATGGCAGAAAATAACATTCTTGTGGAGCAACAGTCTGGTTTCTGTTCCCCACAATGCCCACATTCTACAGAAACAACGTTACTTAGTTCTACAAATGAATGGTTGTACTTGATAACATGGATAAAGGTTTAACAAGCTTATGTTTTATTTCTTGACCTTAAAAAAGCTTTTGATACTGTTGATCATGTAATCTTGCTATCAAAGCTTGAACTGTACGGTATAAGGGGAATAGCTTACAATGGTTCAAGTCGTACCTCAAGAATAGAAAGCAAGTTTGTTCAGCTAATGGTAAGATGTCGTCAGCAAGAGAAATCAGATATGGGGTCCCACAAGGCCCTACCTAACCTTGGCCATATTCTATTTCTCTTATTCATAAACGATCTTTCAAATTGTTTGCAAATTACTAACGACACATCGTACCTGCGTGGGACAAAGTCGCGGTGAAATTAAGATGAAACTGTAATAAGGACCTCGAGAATGTTAATCAGTGGCTGTCGGCCAACAAATTGACGTTAATTAAATAAAAAGAAAACTGAGTTCATAATAATTGGCTCGAGATATCGCCTTGGAATTATTCCTGATGAGCAATTAAAGTGGGACAAACACAATGATGCACAATGCAAAGAAATCGCAAAACTGAACATTGCTCTTCTCAAAAGATCAAAACGATTTCTTCCAAGGCATGAGTTAATAAAAATGTACAATGATTAAGCTTTTGTTTGAGTTTGACTAATGAGTAATGGTCGCGGGTAAAAAAACGCGGGTCGCGGATAAAAAGGCACGGGTCGTAAAAAAGCTCCAAATCGTCCAAATCGTGAATAAAGTGTGTAAAAATCACGTTATTATTTAGTAAACAACTTGATATAGGATTGCTTTAGCCTGCGAACAGGCTCTCAAGCTGAATTGAGAGCCTGCATCGATGACTAATCAATTTGAATATCTGCCCCGTAACGTTCGTTTTTCCAAATATG